CCAGGAACTCCCAGACATCTATTAATCACCCTCTGTTACTATTCTCTCCTAGATCTCTCTACACATGTTATCATTTCGGGTTCACGACTTCCATTCTAAAAAAATACCTTTTACCCATCATCCTCCTTATCAGTAATTTACATATATATATACACCTATATATCAAGAAAATTATTTATCATAGTTTGTTATTATTATTAATGCATATATTTTACATTGTTACATAGCTGAAAAGAGACATTTGTACATCGAGTTCAGCCTTTCTCACATCTGTTTTTGTTGTTGATCCAAAAGAAGACAAAAAACCCAGTTTGATGTGCTTTCCAATTTTGTAACAAATTAGGAAAAAAATCCTTCTTGACCACAGAATGGTAGTTAGATCTCTCCTTGGATCAAGAAGCTGTTACCCCACAAATGAAAAATGATATCCCTGAATATTATGTTTTTGTGAGTATTCATCCAGTTGTTGTTTAAACATCTGTATAGACTCTGATAAAACCACCTCTTCAGGCAGAGAATTCCACATCCTTCTTGCTCTTTCTGTAAAACAAACAAAAAAACTTTCCTTTAGACTAACTCTTCTTTCTTCCAATCTAAATGTGTGACCCCATGTCCTATGTATACTCCCAATATGGAAAAGGTAGAAGAAACCGTGCCCAAAATTATGTACAGAAATGTATACGTATATAGGTCTTTTAAGGTTGACCTCAAAGATAAAAAATAAAATAATAATAGTGCAATACAGTATGTACAGTTTAATAAGTGGTGGTATGTATAGTCCTGTTTATGAATAGATTTCCAGACAATGATTTGTATTGGCTCCAAATATATTTATATAATGCTATAATATCCCCTCTGAGGCACTGTTTGTCTAAACTAAACGGATTTACATTTTTTAATCTTCCTCATAACTAAAACGTTCCTCCATTCCTCTTATTAATTTTGTAGTCCACCTCTGCACTTTTTCTAGTGTCATGATATCCTTCTTTAGAACAAGTGCCCACTGCTTGATGTGCATTCACACCAGACTGACCTTCCAGTTGTTCTGGCAGACTCATCCCGCTCCCCCTACCCCTTGGGCAGCGGCAGTGACGTTATGTATGTCAATGGACTATCCCTTTTTATCCCACCCACTGCTGTCCTGATTCATAGGGTGGTACTGTTGGAGGTATGGATAACTACAGCTCCCATATATTGTTTTGGCAGTGTTATGGCTGTCATGGTTATTGTAGGTCTGCAACAGCTGTGGATTTCTTTCTAGGGCATCACTGGGCTGAATGTTATTATAAGTGATGAGCATATTTTGATGAGTAGCAGTTTTCTTTAAGTCCATAGGGAAACTGCTATTTAGATTGCAGAAGTAAGCATATCTCTTGCAATAAAATCCATCCCTAAAATTGGAAATTAGGCTTGGTTTTAGAAATAGCAACTTTTTTCATCAACAATGACCGAGCCTCGTACATTGCCAGTGGTGTGCTTTATTCATTACTTTGCTTACCTCTAAATTACATAGGGGTATGTACTCTTCCTGAACTTGTCGATTAATGGTCTGTCTAGCATGAAGCTTGATGCTACGGCATATCCCTCAGGATAAGGGTCAAACTCTGACTTGGCCATTCCAAAATACATTTATTCTTCTTCAGCCATTTAAAACTATGTTTAGCTGCTATTGTCTTCTCGCTTCATCCACATTCTAAATAATTTGCTGTAATTATCCTATTATATTAAAAAAACCAGAAGTCATGCAAACATTTAAAAAAATCTAACTTTCCTTTTATTCTTTTTCGAGTATGCTTTGTCTCCACCATGGTGGTGCCTTGTCCTCCACCCAGTTATGTCAGTGTTTCAGCAAATTCCAGATGATGCTGGTTCGTTATAGATTTAAAAAAAAATGTTTTTTTACTTTAAGTGAACTCCATCACATGTGTATTTGGGGGGCTGATGAAGGTAATATTTCTGCCCTATCTCATATATGCAAGATTATAATTTCTAGAACATTGTTAGAAATAAGACTTCGGCAAACCACTGCACATTGTAAAATATGCTATCGGGAGAGATGCAATCCTGACAAGTATGTGTATGACAGAGGTTCCTCTTTGGGAAAATAATAAAAGAAAGAATTAGCAAACTTCATACAAGGTTCATCTAACACCTGGTGGCATAGAAACGTATTGGCTGATGGTATCTGTCCAAAAAGTGCTTTGGATGTATATATTCACAAAACCCAACATTTTGTATTTATTTAATTAAATTCCTATTGTCCTCTGCTGGGTCTTGGCAGATGTAGAACTGAGCAGATCTTAGGTCAAAATAGGCAACTGTTACACATACATCCATAGACACATATACAACAGAATAAATAATACTCTTGGGTTTTAAATCCAGTAAACTGATTAATTATAAACAAACAAAACGAAGGTTGGGATCGATATTTTATTCCTTACTTGAACTTTCTTCAAGGAAACAGGTTTATAAAAGGAACAAAACATTGTGCACTGTACCGGCTTATCATCTGTTTTGAATAAAGCAGCTTAATGGATTTAACACCCAAGAGTGCTCCTCTTTCTTTTATTAATATTTATATCTCCGCAGCCCGCACCTTTGTATTACCGTTCTATGTGCAAGAATCACTCTTGCATAAAGGGACACTATAGACACGCAGACCAATTCAACTCAATTAGGTGGTCTGGTTTCCATGTCCCTCTAGTTTTAACCCTGCAACAGAAAACACTGCCCTTCCGTAGGGAAATCAATGCTAACATCGCAGGGTGTAAATGCCTCTAGTGGCTGTCATACATTACTAGTAGCCTTTCAATGGTTTTCTATGGGAAACATTGGATTGGTTGAGATCATCAAGATTAAAGATCTCAGTTAAAAAGGAGAGAGCACCACACAGTTGGACAAATGGTAAGTAAAATACCTTTTATTTTTTTAGCCCTGGGGGGCGTCCACATAAATGGTTGCTAGGACACTATAGTGTTAGGAATACACAATTGTATTCCTAAAGCTATAGTTGTAAGTAACTGATGTACACTTCAATATTTCTTACAAAATGTTCCTTTAAATGTTCCCATTCAGATATTCACTACAATTCCAAGTTTAATGAATAACCCTAAATGAAAGAAGATGGATATCACTTGATGGCATTTCATATGTTGTATTAGGACCCACATCATAGAACACTGATAAACAGTTGATGGTACGTTCTTTGCACACAAGGTTTCAGGATCTATTTCTAAAGACCGTCCTTTCGTATGCAACTTATTTTCAGGCTCTGTTTGCCGAATGCTTCCTGCAAAGTTATGCGTCCTCTTTGTCAGCTAAGAGGTTAATTCTCCCCACTTCATTTCTTTTCCTTCCCTGTTTAGATGTAATGAAGCTTCCCAGATGTGACAAGATAATAAGCACCCAGTTGTGATGGGGGAGTAACATATTCAATACTCCGCTGTCAAGCTGTCATACTGATGGAGAGCTTCACTTGGTTTCCAAAAAAAGTACATGTCTTAAAGAAGCAACATGTTTCATATTTGATTTGAGGAATCATAGCTTTCCATATTATGCTAATTTTGTTGTACATCTTAAAGTTATCATTCTCCACCATTATTCTTTTATTAAAGAGGTTTTAACCCACACTCCAAACTAACCAATTTTATTATCTATACATAATTCTGCAATATAGGGGCTTTTGTTTCAAAGGGTTTTAAGTAAAAGATGAAGGGGTGGATCGTGAGCATAAAATATGTGTGTTTGATTTTACCAATAAATATTACAGTTTTTTTACGTCTCTTATTTCTGTCCTCAGACTGTGAGACTATGGAACTCTTCATTTCTTAAATATAAATGACATATATATAATGCAATATAATATATCACAAAGTTATTGTACAACCTTCATACATTTTTCATTAACAGCAAGTATAGGGCATCCATCCATCTAACCATCCAATAACCTACATTTTCTCTTTTGTTGTTTTGTGTTTATATTCGTAAATTAATGATCACTCCTTTGTACAATGCTCCTGAAATGCTTTGTTAAACAAAAAATAAAACATATATACACTTTATAAATGTGTATCTACATCTGGAATATTTCTGAATGCACATTTTTAGTTAAAATTATTTTCTGAATATCTACATTAATATAAAATCACTAGCCGCTTTATGGAAATGTTTTAAATATTTTCTAAATATTACATTTTAGAACAAATATGGATATCATTGGAACACAGGAAATTGCTTACAGAATTTTCTTCAAGGTTTTTTTTACCCAATTGTCATTATAAATATTTGTTTAAATAACCTTCATTAATCTTTTCAGTAGTGTGCTTGTTTCAGTTTTGAAGGTCACTCAATACACGTGAGAGAGGCATTGCTGTGTAACGACTCAAGTGATTATTTATGCAACAGAGATTCATAAGCTCGACTTTGTACATTTACTTATTTAAATTCCATCAGCCTTTTGTTACTTTTATCTGTTTTGAGCTGCTTGCCTAGATTAGAAAGCAAAGTCAAAATTGAACTTGTCATTTCAAACACACAGGTACCAGTGATGAGGAACATCCCATTAGGTCCATTTATTTTTTGCTCAATTATTTCAAATATCATAGCTATCTAATTTTGTGTGAAGCAGGTCTGACTTTGTATGACAGCTGGTGCATGATACATGGAAAGTTATTCTTTGATGTACTTCATTGCATATAGATTAGCAAAAAAAAAATATTATATGATCTAAAGAGATCAAAGCAAAACTTTAACAGACATGATCTTTTGATGTTTTCTGCTGAATACAAATAAATATAAAATAAATATAGGCATTTCTTATCTAACCTGATCATCAAGCATTATGCCAAAAGTGGACTTTGCAAAAATTATGTCTGGTGGGAACCAGAATATTCAATAAAATGCTGATGCAATGATTATCCTTCATCTCCACCATTAGGATTGTCTTCCTATCAAACCTAAGAGTTTTTCATTGAGCAAGAATAAATGGATTAAGTATATATCTCATTTGGAGCTTCCTAAACGAGACAAATTGTGCAGATACTATATATTTATATATATAGAATCCGCACACTTTGTCTCGTTTAGGAAGCTCCAAATGAGAAGTGTGTTCCACCAACATGTGTAGTGTTATGGTTAATCATCTTCATTAGTGATCACATTTCCCTAGATTTTCGAGGACCATGTTTACTATGATGCCTTTTTATGAAATGCGTGGGGCAAATAAAAGGAACACATGAATAAAGGGAGGGGGACAAGAATTGGAAAGGAAAGCAATTTAACAACATCCATACAGGGCACAAAAAAGTCATGCATCCAGGTGTCGGTGACCCTTAGTTCACCCGTACCGAGACCCCATTTGGGGTTAGCTATTGCTGTAAGATTTAGTCTCTGCCCCCAGGCATGAGATCTGGGTCAACAGCATGAAGAAGAACATAATGTATGTATCAAGAGTTAATGAAGATGATTACATTAAAATTCTGGTATGCCATTTTTATTTCATATTATTCATACTGTATTGTGTTTTGTCAGGGGACACTCTGTTCTTCTCTCTACTGAGCTTTGCCATGGCTTTAATGGAATGGCAGCAAGACCAATTTCTCCTTGTAGATGCCACAGACTCGGTGCTCTTTATTTATAGTTTTTAAATGTTGTACGATCCAACAATGAAAGTTGTCTAGTTACAAATGCTGCAATTATAAGCCACTGTCAGACTTGCTAGTTGGTGCAGACAATCTTTACAATTATGGAACATTTTGATTGTTACTTGGTATTAGTAAAGTTGGCTGAAAGACCAATCTTGGTCTTTCAGCCTTTTGGTAGATAGCTCCCTAATACCATGGGAATTAGGGAGCTATCTACTAAGCGGCTGTAAGATCAGAATTTCATTCATGAATGCCCGAACTGCTCTCATTTTGATAGGGCGGAATTCTGTAGTTTTGACGGCGTTCGGGAATAGGGAAAGGAGGCATCGCAAGAACACGGAGGAAAGGTGAGAATTGTGGGAAGATCTACTGACCACAATTCTGACCACTTTGCTCCTCCGCTGGTCATAGATTGTCAGAGTAGGAAACCTTCATAAGACAAAGTAGTCCCTACTTTGCCTTATGTTTTAAAGAAAACTAGAGCAGACAGGAAGAAATGAAGAACAGATCATGAGAGAGGAAGAGAAGAGGAATCGATTGGGGAAAGGTAAGTTCGGCATGACAGTGCCGCTTTATGACCACCTTACTATTTCTTTCTATGCACTCTCCTCACTCTCACATGTCCCTGTTCTATCTAGGCCTTGCCTGACTCCTCAGGGTCTTACCTGCAGAATCACACACATTTTCTGACAACTCAATAAGTGCTGAACGTTCCAGGCAAGGAGGCTCTGTACAAATGCTGTGACACAAACCAAAGGTTTTTCTTAGTTTTTTTTTCTTTTCTATTTTTTACTCCAGGTGCTTTTCAAATCAACAGGAACAAAATAACAAATATATAATTTGCAGAGAAGCAGAACCCAGAGTTACAGCTGGTGTCTTCACTTATAACATAGCACAGGATGGTCACTGAGAAAGTCAGACTGAGCTCATTGTAGGGGCAGTTACAGGTAACAGCAAGTAAGGATCATGTTAACATACAATTACATTAATAATGATGTATGTTTATATGCAAGCCTAAAAGGAAAATTATAGTAAGATGGCATATGTGTCTGAGCAAAAAAAACTCCTGAATTCTTGCTTTGGAAAATGAGCTATGTAGACTTAACTTGACAGTTAATCATAGAGCGTGCTGTAGTGGTGTTTGGAGTGTTCCTTTAGAATCAGATGGTCAGTCAAACACTACATATATTCTCCAAACCAGACTTGCAGTTTATTTCCTCAACCACCAGCTCTGCCTCATAATACAGTTCCTGTAAAACAGTGTTGTGGAAATAAGAAAGAAATGTATCCATAACTGATATACAACATACTCAAAAAAGCAGCATTATGTCTGCGAGAAGCTACCTGTTGGCTCAATATATGTTTAGACCTGCAGAGAACCTTTGCCGTCTCACTGACAACACAATAAAGACTAGTAGGTGCACATGTGTTTGAGCGATTCTGCGGTATATTTCGAATGGAAATTAACTGAAATAACCTAAAAGTCTGATTTCATAAACTTGTCTAAATTAAATTCCTATGCTTTGTAAAATATGCAAATATACAACCTGTTTCATGTGTTTTTTTTTTTTATATCAATCACATATATTTAACAAATAGCTTGAGTACAACATAACTGCATCTAAACATAATGCCTATTTGTAAGGGCTTATTGTACATAGAGTGTCTACCTTGCATGATACATGACTATTTATGCTCTGTGCATCCCAAATGTATATTAGCATACCCATGTATTTAAATAATCAATACTATTCTGTCACTAGTGAGAATCAACAGTACAGAGACAACAGCTTTTGCATACATTGTGCATATGCTGTTGATTGGAACTGACGTCTTGTGGCAGTTCATTAAAGACTGGTATAGAAAGAGACAAGGGAGTAGTAAACCACCCAACCATTAGGGATGGGAGACATAAATTAGAGCATAATGAATGGAATGAAAATCCAATCCCAATTTTCTGTGTTTTTGTTATGTGATGAAGTTTAAAGTACCCAGCACACTGGTTCTGCTATTTTGATTAACCCGTTTGACCCCATTGTGGGTGAAGTTGTCAGTCAAGAGACTTGATGCAAAAACATACTTATTTAGATGTAGCACACATTTGATACACATGCATAGTGTCATACAGTACAGAAAGTACAATCACACAGGTAACAAAAAATTCCACAGGCACACAGGTGTATATATTCCGACTTCCTGTGGCTGAGGTATGTAGGGGGAAAAAAAACAACCAGCTCGACTACATTAAGGACATGTGACACTTCAAGCATAATAAGTTAGTAATAATATATACATGATATATATATATCTCTTAAGGTCATAAGGACTGCACTGCATCTGGACCTATGGGCATTTGGTCTTGTTGTGTGTATATATATATATATTCTGGAATTCTTGTCAGTTACTGGTAAGATTAATTGGCAGAATTCACTGTATAATAGTCCCAAATAGTCAGGTTTATAGGCAAATAGCAACCTGTAATCAGTATGCAGTGTGTGTGTGTGTGTGTGTGTATATATATATATAAACTACAGAATATATATATACACTGTATACTGGTTACAGGTTGCCACCAAGCCTGACTATTTGGGATTATAAATTTACTGAACAGAAAGATAAAAATATTGAGTCTATACAGTGCATCCTGACACTTAATCTCACCAGTAACTGACAAGAATTCCAGAATTAGCACTAATTAATAAATAACTTCTTTAATGAGCCCAGCAGAGACTATTAATAAATACAAGGCAGAGTAGGGGACCAACATGACCAATAAGGGTTCTGTACAGTTTCAAGGGGACTTACAACCACCAAATTATATCATAACATCAATTGACCAGAGAACTGCCAGTCCAACAACTCCTGGGACAAGGCAATTTACAATTAAATGACAAAGTAATTCAATTAACCAAGGTCTTTGTAACATTGCCCTTCTCTCATCTGCTGCCTATACACATGGCCCTTAACATACTTGAGCAAAACATTCAGAAGCAATACATCTTTTGCATACAAGATCTCTGCAAACGAAGGACAATCAGCGATATGATGACAAACTCTTGCAGGATTGCATTATCTTAAAACCCATTATTAAAAGTTTACTTCCAACCAATGAGCATGCCCAATATATTTGCAAATGATACATTATAATAATTATCAAATCAAATTTCTAGCCTTCCCACACATTAGGCATCATATCCACTGATTTCCCAGGTACTCCCTCTTAGATTTTGTATCCCTTACACATATTTTTTCCTATCTTTTCTATGCATCATCTTTCTTCCGTGTCTTTAATCTAACATTTTTTTTAAACTAAACATTCAATTGTAATAAATTAGAACCAAATTACTTCTTTTTTTAAATTAAATGTTCATGTATTTTCTTCCATGTGTAAAAGGCAAAGGATAATGAGTACATACAGGGCTTTTTTACTGTAATGAGAATTCAAAGTGAATTTCATATTTTATCACAGATTGTAGGCTTGTATTATACATTCATGTTCTTTACTAAACTCCAGCAGCAAAGAGATTTTCAATAAAGTTTAATGAACAGTAGACACCACGCAAAAACCCCATCCCCAGACAATTGACTGAAATGGAACACTTATTAGACAATCAGCATCCAAAATAGACTATATAATGAATGATCCCCAAATCTCCTTCCTCTTTCTTTGCTGCTCCAGTAGAGACAAGTATTATATATTATTAAATGTAGTTTTTCTTCTGACATTTTCTGTATTTACCTACATTTCATAGTGTGTTGGTTGTTGCTAGTGATTCGCAAAGTACTGTTTACTGAGGGTGCAGTGTAATTCGATCAGAATTCGGTTGTAATTTGGTCATATATTTTGTATGCATTCGGTCTTAATTCGGACATTTCATTTACATTTGATCATAATTTGGTCGATTTTCTCAGTCTTCACTTGCATTAATTCGGCATTTTTTCCAGTTCGCAGCATGCACATTTTCAGTTAGTCAACCATTTTATGCTTACATTTTATCTACGTATTTGTGTTGATGTCATACTACCGTGATATTTCACAATCAGTTTGTTGTCAGCTAACTTTATTACCCATTTTACCTCTCAGACTTTAGGTAAAATAGTTTCTACACTGCTGGTAGATTGTTGCAATTTGACCAAATCGAATTTCTGTCAAGGTTTTTCCCTTTACTGTTTAACTGTTTAAATATTAGTTAATGTTGTGGCAAACATTTTGTTAGATATTGGATCAATTTGCTTCCTTTGTGATTTCTCCCAGTGTCATATTCTTAGAGACTGGACCCAATGCATTGTGTGTTTTTTGGGAAACGCTAATGCGGCTTTGACCAGCGAATGCCGCAGGTCAATTCTCATGAAGACTGACTAAATTTAGCCATTTTCAGAACCATTTAAGCTACAGAAGGTCTCCCATTTAGAGATTTTAAAAGAAACAAGCAAATATATTTTTCTTCAGAAGGGATGGAA